CTGTTTGTGGTTTAGTTGGGTTTGGTACATACACAAAAAAAAGACTCGGTTTGATTTTCGTATCGATTTTTCTGATTTAAAAGTTAAAACAATAAAATAAAGTTCGGTTTGGTTCAGTTGTGCCTTCCCTGAAGTTGCTTGCCGGTCTAATCCGGTTAATCTTCAAACCTTATCGTCGTAGTCACCACAAATACTGTTATCATCTCTCTCACTCTTAACACAATTTCTCTTTTGTCTCTGTTCTCTCACTCATGGCGACTCTTCCTCTACCTCAAACCTCCACAATCTCTCTCTCTAAACCTTATCTCTCTAATTCCTTCTCTTTCCCACTCCGTAACGCGAAACTCTCAACAAATCGCCGGGGGTTTCTCGCCGGCGGGATCGTGGCAAAGTCATATAAGGTGGTGGTTGAGCACGACGGAAAGACGACGGAATTGGAAGTCGAACCAGACGAGACGATTCTATCGAAAGCTATTGACTCGGGTTTGGATGTTCCGTACGACTGCAAGCTTGGTGTTTGTATGACTTGTCCGGCGAAACTCGTGACCGGAACTGTTGATCAGAGCGATGGGATGCTTAGCGACGATGTTGTGGAACGTGGTTACGCGCTTCTATGTGCTTCGTATCCAACTTCTGATTGTCACATTAAGATGATCCCTGAAGAAGAGCTCTTATCTCTCCAGCTTGCTACAGCCAACGACTGATGAAGAAGATGAAGATGGTCGTTTTTGGTGTAATACGGTGTCGTTTTTGACCAAGGAATCTTGCTTTTGAGACTGTAATGTGTTCTTGAATTCAATGTGATCCAAGAGATTCCAGTTCTATCGATTTTTTCTTGTAACAGTTCGAATCTAAGTATCGAAATAAGTTCGAATCGAAGATTAGGGGATTACAGAGCAATGATTGAAAGAGGAGAGATATGTATAACTAATAAACACACAACTACTAATTCAGAAACAGAGAGAGTAAAGAGTGTTAGCTGCAAACTTCAGAGAGAAAAGAGAGATATTACAACAAAGTGACTAGTAGAGACAAAACGTAGGCATAGAGACAACAGAGATCAGTGGTTTGGTTACTTACCAGCTTCTTCTTTTTTTTTCTTTGTCACTGTCTAATTCAGTAGTAAGCATGTTGAATATGGTGGTGATAGTGGTGGTGTGGGAGAGGATGGTAAACCGGAGGAGCTGGAGCAGGTACCGGACTGCAGTAGCCACCATATGGAGAGGGATAATTGACTGGAGAAGCTTGGTATGATCCATGAATCGCCTCGGGTGAGTATTGGTATTGAGGGCTCC